CGACCCTAGTGAGGCGCCGCCACTGTCTGCTATCGTGATCAACAGCCGTGACCCAACAAGGGTGGTTGGCACGTCTAGGGCAGTACTTGCCGTGAAGGTACTGAGCCCAAAGCGACTTTCCTTCCCTGAAGCGCCACCACAGCTTGTATGAGAAAGCTGTAACAATGTCCCTGAGGCGGCGGATGCCAAGGCCACCCTCGGGGAGGGGGCGGCAGATAGAGTCCCAACTCAACCAGTGAGTACGTCTCCCCCTCCCAGACCCGTCCTCATAACCCCAGAAATAACGAGCCATAATCTGGTCAATCTCGTGAAGAGTAGACCTAGGGGGATCGAGGACCATAAGCAAGTGAATCAGAAGAGAGCTAAGAGTGCTCTTGATCAGCGCTAGCCGACCACCGAAGGAAAGATATCTATGCGACCAACCAGAGATCCTGTCGATCATCCTCTGCCTGATGCCCGCAAAGAGTGCTCTCGTGAGGTTGCCCTTATATAAAGGGACCCCGAGGTAGGTAATGGGAAGGTCGCCACGCGCAAGGCCAGTAATGTCGTGGACCCGCTGAGCCCACCTGTCCACGGTGGCAGATGAAAGGATGAAGGTGCTCTTCTGCACACTGACCAGCTGACCGGTGACCAAGCCATAGTGCTCCAAAAGGCGCATAAGCTCGACCAGTCCATCATCATCCGCCCGGGTGAAGATAATGATGTCATCCGCATAAGAGAGGTGAGAGATGGTAGGACCATAGCCACGGGTGCTATAGGTCATATGGGGAGAATCGCGGATGAAGCCGTCAAGGCAGCGAGAGAGGTAGTCCGCCGCAAGAACGAAGAGGGAAGGGGAAAGAGGGTCGCCCTGTCTAAGGCCTCTAGAGGAGGGAAAGAAGTCGGTGGGGTTGCCATTAATCAGGACCGAGAACGTCCAATGCTCCACACACGCCTCCACAAAGCTGATCCTACGCTCAGGGAATCCTATCGTAGCCAACGCCTCCCTAAGAAACGGCCACTCAAGCCTATCATACGCCTTAGCCATGTCTAGCTTCAGCGCGATATTCGGAGCCCGCTTCCAGTACGCTCGGGAGATGTCGTGGATCATCTCCTGGGCCAGAAGGATGTTATCACTAATGACCCGATCCTTGACGAATCCACTCTGGTTCGGAGAGATGAGGGAGGGGAGAAGAGGGGAAAGACGGCCGTTAAGAATCTTCGAAATGAGCTTTTTTGTCACGTTACACAGGCTGATGGGCCTGTAATCGGACCAAGAGCTCGGGTTGGGTCGTTTGGGGATCAAGACGACAGAGGTAGACGTGAAGGAATCCGGCATCCGTTGAGAAAAAATCCAACATCGTCTCCTGGACGTCAGTCTCGACAATATCCCAGCAGACCTGATAGAAGAGGGAGGAGAAACCATCCGGGCCAGAAACGCTGTTGGGATCAATCCCGAATACAGCATCCCTAACCTCCTCCCTGCTCGGGAGCTCACAGAGGCCAATGAGATCGACCGATGGAGGGATGGTGGGGAAAAAAGAAGCGGTCGGGGCTACGAGGGACCCTCTGTCAGAGGTGAAGAGGGTCTGGAAGTGAGCAACAGCCGACTCCCGAATCTGAGCCTCCTGGGTCCAGGATGACCCATCAGCCTCGATACTATGGATGTACGACTTAGCACGCTTCTGCCTAACGTAGCCCTGGAAGAATCTAGTGTTCCGCTCGCCCTCGACCACCCAGCGAACGGCCGCCTTCTGCTTCCAGAAGTCCTCCTCCATAAGGAGTCGGAGCTGGTACTCGGCGTGGCAGCGGTGCATGGCAGTCCTATTTTCCGGAGTGGGATCCAGGTCATAGGCCCGCTCAGCCGTCGCATGCGCACTCTGAGCCGCAGCAAGACGCTGATGAAGGTTTCCAAAAACATCCCAGTTCCACTGTCTCAACCGACGCCGCAGTCTGCCGAGCTTCGCCTCGAGATTGTGCAACCCGAAGTGCCCAGTCGGCTGAAGCCAGGAATCCCTGACAGTGTCGTGGAAGGAGTGGTGGCGAACCCACATGTTTTGGAACCTAAACGAAGAGCGGCGGCGGGTGCTCGAAAATCGGCACCGGATGAGAATGGGTGAATGGTCGGACCCAAATCGAGTAAGGTGTGTGACGGTCGTAACCGCAAACACCTTCGACCATGCCTCAGAAACTAAGGCACGGTCTAACCTCTCTTTGAGTCCGTCCCTCACCTACGTGAAGGGCTCACCATCACATCCAGCATCAATTAACTCGCAGTCCGCCACAGCCTGAGCAAAATCCCACATCTCACGTGACCGGTCCGTGCGGCCTCCTACACGCTCATCGGGATGCAGAAAGATGTTGAAATCGCCACTAACCATCCATGGCAATCCCTCCATACTCTCGGCAATCTCACGCACGGTGTCCCAAAGGTCATATCGCCCGACCCTAGTACACTTGGCATAAACCAAGGTGTGAAAGATGGGCTCCGGGAGGTGGTCAGCAGATATCTCTACGTGAAGCACCTGATCGGTGTCGCGGAGGACCCGACAAGTGTAGTCACGCGAGTGGAAAAACCAGATCTTGTGCGAAATATTACCCACGCCCGACTGGAAGCCCAGACGACGCGAGTAGTAGTCAAAAGAAGGAGTGCAAATCATCGGCTCAATAAAGCCAACAAAATCGACTCTGTGGTCACGAATGAGAGAATGAAGGTGAGAAAGAGTAGCCCTGTTCGCCAGGCCACGGCCATTCCAAGTAATGGATGTGATGGACATATCAACGGTCGCAAGAGCCACCGGACGTAGTCCGCCTATGGCGAGGCTGATTCGGGCCACCTAAAGAATGGGAAATCGTCCGTCGTGTCGTGCGGCGGAAGGGTCCAATAGCAGGGGAGATCGTCCGCCGTCTCGTGTGCTGCGTGGCTCTGGTCCTCGAGGTCTGTCTGCCTCGGTATGTACTCGTGGCCTGTGAGTCGTCTGGCTGGATAGACTGACCTATAGCAGCACTAGCGGGTTGCCCCATCTCCGGGGCTGTCTCCTGTCTGTCAAGGTGAAGAAAGGCACTAGAGGCGAAGCTCTCGCACGAGACGTCATGCTGCGCGCGGTTGAGCCCGCATATCTGCTCGGGGATGGGTGAAAGAGAGGGTCCCACAGGCAGAGCACTCGGGTGCTCGCCGGTAGGAGGAGGCTGGGAGCTGGCTATCAGCTCGACCGAGCTCCGAATCTCAGCAGGGATGGGGTGGGCCGACTCATCCCCTTTCGGGTGAGCGGTGGCGGCAGTAGCCCTCGAATCCGAAGATTGGACCGGGCTAGATGCGCGCACGGTCAAAGGACCACCATCGCGCACACTATCATCGGATAGGTGGATGGACTCTCTCCTGGGCGTGGCGTCCGGCTGGTCCATGTCGTCTCCAAGGAGGTCATCGTCATCCAGAAGCGTAAAATCGGTACTCTTAGGTGGCCTGCTGGAGGAAGGAACAGTCTCCTTCTCTGCCTCAGGGGAGAGAATAGCGAAATGCGAGTGGTTGGCCTTGAAGGCCGTCTGTAAGGTCTGTCTGGGGATAAAACCCGTGGTCTGGGGCTTGGGGACCACTAAGGCCAACTGCTTAGGCTGGTTAGGATGAACATCCTTCCCAGTTTGGGCAGTATCGACAATCACAGCCTTGCCCTTATCCTTAGACCCCTTCAGGGTCTTGGGCGCGCGGAGAGGGCTTTTGCCCTTTCCCTTCGGGTCCCTCCGGCTGGTGGAGTTTCCCTGCTGGGTCGCACAATGGCGCTGCGGGAGGGCGGGCCATGGCTTATTGCCACTGATGTAGCAATCGGCCGCGACATGACCCACATGGTTGCACGAGGTGCAGAACGCGGGGATCTTCTCATAGATCACCCGCTGAACAAAAGACTCCGAGCCCTGTTCAATCTCAATCTCATGAACGAGCTCAGCTCTCAGGTCTATCTCGACGCAAAATCGCGCCACGTTAGCCCTCGTCTGAAGGGCCGTCGGGGCGTCGATACGAATCGGCTGCCCAATACACTTAGCTAGTGTAGTGATGGCAGCACGATCGTAAAGATGGGGTGGTAGGCCGGGAAGGCGGCACCACACGGGGACAACCGGCGCCTCCGTCTTCGGGTTAAACCCGGCATAATATTTGAACACCCTAGCTGGGCATCCACACAAATGAATCGAGGTCTTAAGCCAGACCTCGTTATAATCCTCGGGGAGGTGGAAAGACACTAAAAGGTGGTTGAAATTATTCCACTTAGATGAAACTCTACCCTTAAAACCCAGTTTTCCTAATCCAGCAGATATTTCTCGAGGGGCAGGGATAGCATATGAGAACTTAAGTACCAGGGTGTTAGCAAGTTTACCTGCAAGGGCAACAGATTCGACTTCAGTGTATCGGGCCTTCACTTTGTTCCCCTCCGAGCAGATAATGGTCCCGCAAGCATGTTCGTATCCCCCATCAAAGGTGAAGTCCTTGGGTGACGGCCGCGGGGCGCCCGTGTCGCCATTTCTTCTCCCGGTAATAGCCTCCCGGAAGGAAATCGGGCCAGTGGAGGTGCCCGAAAGAGACCCGGCTGCAGCGGGGTTAGCCTTGGGAGGGCCCGTTGGCGTTGTCCCATTCGTGGAAGGTCCGGTAGGATGAGCCGTGGTCGTCTTGCTTGGGTTTGCAACGACCACACCGTCTTCCCAGACATATAGTACGGCCGGTTCAGATTTTTCGGAATTAGAGGTGGATAGTCCTGCAATTTGTTCGGCCGGAGGGAGTGGGGATGGCCGATGTCCGAGGATTCCGGCCGCAGTAGTAATTTTTGGGCCCTCTCCGGATGTAGAACCGACCGGCTGAGATTTTCCGGTGGCCGTGATGGCGCCGGCGCTGGCGCCGGCGTAGGGCGTGAGGTCGGTGGTTGCCGGCTGGATATTGGTGGTAGCCTGTTGATGGGCGTGAGATTTTTCGGTGGCCGTGCCGGCGCCGGCGATGGGCAGGTGGCCGTTGAGTTCCGGTCGGCTGTTGGTGGCAGTGGGCGAAGGGACGGGGGCCACTTGATGATGGCAGTTGCCAGGTAAAAGGGGGCTGGGCCGAGGGGAATGGGACTGAGACTGATTTATGGTGGGTGAGTTAGGCCAAGTAGACTGGGGCAGCTGCACACGAGAATTGGGCCCAATAGGGGGTGCGAGGTTTTGGCCCAAGGTGTTACCTCTTAGCTCATTATTGGGATTGGGACCAAACCCTAACACTTGGTCGGGAAATAAATGTTGAGAGGAGGATCGAGGTCGCTGACCGATAAAAAAGGAAGGGGTGGCGGCGTGACTCATCTTCTCCAGCAAGACAGCTTCCGTCGGTGGAGCAAATGACCCGAAGCCGATCGGCGATTCAGACGTATGGTTTTTGAGTCCCGGTATTCCGTTCTCATGCCGAAAGAGACCGCCGACCGATCTGTGTGACCTTCAATGAGGGAGACCGAGAATTCCTGAGACGTGCCTGCCGGTGAAACGTCCTTGTCTTGAGGCTCTTTATCTTTAGAAAAAATTTCGATTTTTCCTTGGCCTTTGCGAGGTGAACAGTCGGTTGTCTTTTTAGGCTTGAAATCCGGCGCTGAGATCTGAATCCGATTTAGCTCGGCACCTTCAATAATTTCGCCTTCTTCTTTGTCTTCGTTTTCCTCTTTTTCTGTTTTATTGGACTCTTTTTTTGCGAGAAAGGCTACGATAGCCTCTCTAAATTCCGGTTGAGCCATGAACAACTCCACCTCCGAAGCTTGGATGACGGGTGGGTGTTGACTGTTGTTCGGAGAGTTGGCCTGAGTGCCATGATTGGTCGAAAACTGAGAATATCGGACTAGTAGGACTAAAAACGAAAAAACTGGAAAATAAATGTAGTCCCGGAGGCCGGGAAGGCCGCCGCCGGCGGCGGCCGGTGGTGGCGGCTAGTCGGGGTGGTGGCTGGGAGTGTCGGGATGTGGTGGTTGTGGCCGGAATTGGTGGGTGAAAAATGTAGAGAGAGAAACCTAGAGAGAGGTGAGAGCATTTGGTTTTTTTTCTCTGTGTCTGTTGTTGCTAGGTTAGTTGTGTTTTGTTGCTAGGTTAATTGTCTGTTGTTGCTAGGTTATTTATTTCTTGCTGCTAGGTTAGTTGAGTTTTGTTGCTAGGTTAGTTGTCTTAAGTTGCTAGGTTATTTATTTCTTGCTGCTAGATTAGTTGTCTTTTGTTGCTATGTTAGTTATTTGTAGCTGCTAGGTTAGTTGTGTTTTGTTGCTAGGTTAGTTGTCTGATGCTGCTAGGTTAGTTGTATTTTGTTACTAGGTTATTTCTTTCTTGCTGTTAGGTTAGTTGTCTGATGCTGCTAGGTTAGTTGTATTTTATTGCTAGGATATTTCTTTCTTGTTGCTAGGTTAGTTGTCTTTTGTTACTAGGTTATTTATTTCTTACTGCTAGGTTAGTTATCAACGGGTCAATGCCGTAGTCAACGCCGAAAGTCAACAGTCAACGCCGGAGTCAACGGTCAACGCCAGAGTCAACTAATAATTATTTTATTATTTAATTAATGTATATTTTAATTAATTTTGATCTAGACAAAATGAGTGGCTAAGATTGAGTCTCACGTACTCATTTTAAGGAGTAGTCTCATTGGATCCGTCCCCTATGTTTAAAATTATGTTTAAAATCGATCCGTCCCCAATTTCAAGCCGGTTGGAGAGTCAATGGAAGATCACTCCCCAGGTCATGGAATGTGGCTAACTTGAAGAAATATTATGTTTAAATTTTTTTTTTCCTTTTTCCTATTTCTCTTGTTGGAAACTTTTCACAACAATGATGTAATTGAATTCTCAATCTTGATTAATGAAATTTCCATTTCAATTTTCAACACTTTGCCTAATCGATTGTTTTAATTTTATTGTGCATATGTGGTGGCCTGTGTTGAATGACTGATCGAAGAAAAATCCATCATGATTAAGGCCGAAAGGCTGGATGGTCGCATGTAACGACCACCCCATTGAGGGTGGACATGTGCTCGAAGACAAAAAATCCATCATGATTAAGGCCGAGAGGCTGGATGGTCGCATGTAACGACCACCCCTTTGAGGGTGGACATCTGCTCGAAGACGAAACATCCATTATGATTAAGGCCGAGAGGCTGGATGGTCGCATGTAACGACCACCCCATGGAGGGTGGACATGTGCTCGAAGACAAAAAATCCATCATGATTAAGGTCGAGAGGCTGGATGGTCGCATGTAACGACCACCCCTTTGAGGGCGGACATGTGCTCAAAGACAAAAACCCATCATGATTAAGGCCGAGGTACTGAACATACAGCATTGCGTTACATCGGTGCGTTCACACTAGAGACGGTACCGTAATTAATCAATTCAAGCAGGACGAGGTACTGAACATACAACGTTGCGTTCACACTTGAATTCAATTAATTACGGTACCGTCACACTGTATGTTAATTACGGTACCGTTCACACTTGAATTCAAGGTACTGAACATACAGCGTTGCGTTCACACTAGGGACGGTACCGTAATTAATCAATTCTAGTGTGAACGCTAATTCAAGTAGGACGAGGTACTGAACATACAGCGTTGCGTTCACACTAGTAAGCAGAACGAGGTACTGAACATACAGCGTTGTGAAAAGACAAAAAATCCATCATGATTAAGGCCGCGAGGCTGGATGGTCGCATGTAACGACCACCCCTTTGAGGATGGACATGTGCTCGAAGACAAAAAATCCATCATGATTAAGGCCGAGAGGCTGGATGGTCGCATGTAACGACCACCCCTTTGAGGATGGGCATGTGCTCGAAGACAAAAAATCCATCATGATTAAGGCCGAGAGGCTGGATGGTCCCATGTAACGACCACCCCTTAGAGGGTGGACATGTGCTCGAAGACAAAAAATCCATCATGATTAAGGCCGAGAGGTTGGATGGTCGCATGTAACGACCACCCCTTTGAGG